TACTGATACAAGGGGTGTTGGTCGTCACCATGACAGTAAGTTATCACTAGAAGCATTGAAGTCTTCTATAATTATAGGCTGTAGGTTTTTGGATACTGCTAACTGTAACTATTAGATAACTATGTTTTGAACTTCAAGTCTTAACTGTTAATTGTTACAGAGTAAATAAACTGAAATAATTCTGAATCTGAAATCATGTTTTGAAGAGAATGTTAATTACAACTGCATGCCAGGAAAGGTAAGAATTTTATAAACATGTGGTTTAAGATAGTTTTTTAATATTAATACTGTACTTGCTTTAGTACTATCTGTGCAAGATCAGTAGTAGGTAAAGTTTTTTAATTTTTGAAGTTTGATATGAGCATTTTCCTGTGGGATCTTAGTTTCAGTTATACTAATAATGTGCAAGTTTTTGGTGAAACAGTAATTTTTCCAGACTTGTTGCTTAAGGTCTGTAATATATCTACGAACATTATGTGTACAAATAAACAGATTAAGAGGTTCATTTTAGTTGTTATGTTGATATATTAGAATGAATGAGGTAGAAAAGATAAGTGGTGTAGTTGATGAGCTTGGTTTGGATCTTAATAGAATATTATATAAGTCGTATTTCATGAAAAAATATGATGATTTGGTAGTATATCAGAATCGTCAGGTAAATATATATGTGCTTTAATTCTGTCATTATTAACTGAAATAAGAAGATAGCATGCAAGATGCCTGGCATTGTTTTGTATTAAATGTTCTCTAAATGAGTAAATAGTTTGTGGTTCTTTTAATAAAGGTAGTTGGTAGTGTTTAAGATATCTATTAGAGCATGTATCCAAATCATAGGAATCTAGTGATGTTGTAATAATTTGAATAGAATTTCTTCTGTAGGGATGCTCGCCGTTTTATATTCGGCTCTCATAGCTGTGAAAAGTTCTATAATCTGCTATATACATTTGGTCTAACCATTATTATACTAGTCCTCTGCATATAAAGGCTTTACTGCCTGCCTCATACTTTATTCCTTTTACTAACTACAACAGATATATCTTTTAGTAAGGTGGCGGCTGCATTAATATCCTACAGAAGATCTTAATTGTTCATAGTATTTGTTTGTGTTTGTGTACATGTGTTTGTATTTGTAATTGCGTGTGCCAGTATGCAGTCCTATTCTGCATTCGGAAATAACTCTTATATGGTCTTATCATAGATTTGCACCGGTTGTACAGCTTGCATTTCTTCATAGACCTAACTATCAACCTTTTTCAAATGAATGCCATACTCGGGATTTGCAAGTGGTCTTTCCTAATTAGTACCCTAGCTCGTAATACATGAGATCTAGTTACAGCGTCTTACGCTGGCATACCCAATTAAGTCGACATATCTGTTGATATACAGATTAAGTATTCAATAATCGTCGCAGGTAGGAATTGAACCCTGGATCTGCCACTAGGGGGGTGACAACTTGACCACTTCACTAAGTCACCACGCCCACATTATCATTTTATGAAAGCATATCATATTGATAATCGTAAAAAAATTTACAAGTTACAATTATTGATTTAATTAGTTGATAATCTGCATTAATCATGGGACTGCAACTTTTTGGTGGCAATACTGGAGTAGATATACAATTGTACATTGTAGCAGTATGATAGAAGTTTATTGAAATTCTACTGACTTAATTAAAAGCAATCCTGATATTGGTAGTATTAATATATTACATTCTAATAATTAAATCTTATTAAGACTTTGTGGCTATTTATAGCATTTATATATGCTTAGCTTTATTGAAATAACTGTTCAAATTGAATACAATTATTACATTATTTATGATTCAACATTATTTATGATTCAACATTTAATGATATTTAAAACATGCAATTTTAATTCGATATGAAAGTGTTTCAGATTCACCAACTAAGTATAGAGTACTTATAGTTGACACTAACTGATGAGCTTTAGGTGTTGCAAATTGTAGTTGAGGTGGTGGCTCATGTGATGTAGTTACTGAATATTCACTATTTTGTAAAGTTAAAATAGAGTTCTCTGGAATTAGTTCATTATGGTAGCTCTATATAAAAAAATTAAATCAAAGTTTTAAAAATAGCATTAAATAACTACTTTAATAATTTAAACAAAAATTAGTTTAATTTACTTTAATTTTGCATTTTGCTTTTCTAATTCCCATTGTTTTTCTTTTTTGAGCTGAAGGTGATAAATTTTTATTATTTGTATCTTTAGATTGAATTGAACGTAGAATACAGCTAGGCTTGTATAGTTTAGCTGAAAGCTTTAGAGATGCACCATTATTTACTGATCATCATTGGTTTAACTCTAATAGTTAAAATAGATCTGTACAAACATCTGATTGCATTCTAAATGAATAAAGAATTTGTGTCCATATCATATCTAAATAGGTTAGATTAATTCTTTATATATTTATAATCAAATTTATATTAATAACAATAAGTATTGATTTATGTATAGTACCCTTATTATAATAAAGACAAATTATTTTCTGATATGCCTCCTCAGTAGATTCAAGATAAATTGTATTGTTTTTTTTATCTGGAGATATAATTCATTCTTTATGCTTAAAATAATTAACTAGCTTGTACTTTGTTTTATGTACTGTATTTGTATTTGTTTGTACTGTTGAAAAAATTTTTGTGGCATGACAATGTTTGCAAACATCATGAAATGATCCATTTTATATATAATCCAAACATTGTAGATATTTACCAGTAACAGTATTTGTAATATAGAACCCATCTTGCAATGCAACTTCACAATTGCTAGCTAACAGTTCTATCATTAGTTGAAGATGGTGAAGATAGGTAGTATCTTCTAATTCTATTGATTCTTCATTATAGTCTTGGTTAATAAATTCTGATTCATAACACTTTAACATAATAGTAGTCAGGATGTTTGATTGTTTAACCAAACCTAGAAGAAAGTACAATCTTTCTTGATTCAAATGTTAATTTATATCCAATATTACTTTTGATGATTCATTTTGCTATTATTTTTTATTTTTATTTTTTTTTGGTATTAAGGTGATTTGCTATTATATTATATGCATAAATTAATAATTATAATATATGTATTTATCGATTTATACTAGACAACTTACTTGTTCAATTGATTGTGCATTAAAATACATAACTAAACCTGCTTTATAAGTTACTTGTTCAGTTTCTTTAATTAAATTTTCCTATAATAGTTTTAATTTGTAAAGCTGTTCAATAAATGTAAAAATTGTTTGTTTGCCTGATAATTGAGACTCAATCATGTGATTCATTCTTTCTGTGTAATTATTGGTAGTCATTAAACTTGCATCATTCATATTTAAAAGCCATTCTGTGTCAATAAACTGCAATCTTCATTTGTCACACACCAATTTTTATCTAAATCTTCTATTAACTGAGATTTTTGCTCATGAGTAAATGGAAGTGTAATAATAAATTTCTTATAACACTCTGTCATTTTGAATACCTTTTCTTCAGTATAACATCGACCTAATAATTTGAATCCTAGTGCAATTATATATCTTAATATATATTTAAATTAGTTTTTATATAGTACTAAATAAAAATTAAAAAAAATATATATAGAATAAATAAAAAACTACAAACTATAATGAATGTGGAATAGCACATTCTTTTAGGTTGTTACCAAATGCTTGCATAATATAGAACAAGCAAAGTATAGTTCCACATACAAGTCCTTTGACTCCAAGTTTAGTAGGTTTATGTTTGTTAATCATTGTATAAGGATTTCATATTTGATTATTGCAGTTACGAATTCCTTTAAATCCATTGTTATATGGAAGATTTTTGTAATACCATGAATGTTTACATATAGATTTACTACAGGATATATTTTGTTTAAACGCATTTATTGTTAGTCGTTTTGACCAATTATTTTCTTTATTACTCAATCCTATGATTAATTGTAAAGTAATTATAAGTATTAATTTTGTTTAAATAAAAAAAAAATTAAACAAATATACCAACTGCTAAGAGAGTTCCATGTTTTGCACTATTTTTCACAACCATAGTTAGAACTGGAGTATGATTAATATTAAAATTGTATTTTTCATCAATGCTGAAACAAAGTTGTCCAAAATCTCTTCTATTTCGTAACCAGAATTCATTAGACATGGTTAATTGATAATAATATTCAGCAGAATTTTTCAGTTTTGATAAATCTGGCTGCTAGTAGTATAAAACATCCCCTTTAGGTTTTAAAATTTCTTCAACTAAATAATGAAAAACCATCCATAGACCCATATAATCTTTTAATCTTCTGTCATCATAAATAATAAATCTCTCCAACTTTTTATTATCACAAATCTTCCTGCTATTTAATAATGCTTTATTTAAATTCTTCTTATAAGTGCTATTTAATAGATACAATAATTTGTCTTTTATAGCTTTTGTTGTCTGATGATCTGCATGATAATTGGTAATAATCTGGTCTCAAACCTAGCATGTTAAATTAATTCTTGTAATTTGTAGAACACTAACATTTACTATATTAATAGGATAATGTGTTCCTTCTATTTTAATATGAAGCTGGTGATTTGAGTTGAGAAATAATAATTATGAAAAAGAGTGAAACCAAACAGAATAGTGATGTATATCATTTCTATTTTTTAGATTATTTGATAAATTAAAATTTGAACATTCAGATATACATTCTCCAATACTACGACATTGATACTGACAAGTTTTTCTATCATCTGTACAATATATAATCTATGACCAACATAGCTTATCTTTTTTAAAATCAGCTTGAATTTGGTTAACATATTTTTGACCTTTATCAGTAAGCTTTACAATATCATCAATGCAGTTTGTTGATTTTTAATTTACTGAAGCCATCCATTCTGTAAAATCCATGGCACTATCCACACAATAAAGTTTAATTAATTCATTATAAATTAATTGTGTTGTTTTTATATGACTTTGAAACTTTAATCACATATTTTAAAAGTGGATGTTGGAGTAAATACTACTCAGCTGTTCGTCTAAAAGAAACTGAAACTAAGTTATCATTATTGTAAATAATTTGGTTTTCAGTCATTTATGTAAAAATAATAAAATATATAAAGATCAGTTTTAAAGATAAAGTTTTTATTATATTTATTTTTATTTTTCACTTTAACTTTATTAACTCACATTGTCTAAAATTAAGTTGATCAAACTATTTATTTGTTATTATAATGTAATATGTAACACATGTGTTATATGTATTTATTATTTTTTACTTTGATTAACTATTGATATGCATATAAATGTCATACATATATATATACCTGAAACATAATATTATAATATCATATATACTACATATGTCATGTGATTATTTATATACTTTAGATATCAAAAAAGTATATAGATTTTAGGGTACATCTAGGAGTATTAAAAAAGTAGGTGCAGGAGTATCAAAAATGTAGGTTTTGCTTCTGTTTCCATAAAATTTCTAGTTCAAGACTTTCTCATAAACTACCCCAGTATCGCCAATATAATAATTTATTCTGATCATATGATGATCTACAAAAATTAGCCAATAAAGAATCTTGATCTGGTGTAATGTCAAGCAATTAAAAATCATAAAACAAATGTCCATTTCGAAAAAATTGCCTTTATCTCAAAAATTCACTTAAGAAACAACTCTTCATTCGTTAACAAAAAAAATTCCTCAAGTAATTTTACTAGCATAAATTTATTTAACATCTGAGTGATTTATTCACCCTATAATATATATATAAGTATGCTATATAATCAAAGTTAATTAAACTCAGCAAATATTAATTAGTGTAACATAAAAGTAAATAATCATAAATAGTGTATGATAGTATATAATAGTAAATAAAAGTAATCACATATAAATGATGTACAAATGATGTAATAATTAAAAAAAAAAGAATTCAATAAAACGAACTGTTTGTATTCAAAAAATAAAGGTGAAAAGCTATAACAAAAGTCCATCTAGATCAGTGTGCATCACAAGTTTAATAAGTCTGGTATGTTTGGGCAGTGGATGCAATATATCCAAAATAGTAAATTTGAATACTTGTTTGATCGATTGTGCATAGAAGCATGATCGATCTATTTTTTTTTTGTACAAGCGAAGTTCATTTAATTTATCATATGGATTTAAAAAAATAAATAGAGCAATTCAAAAAAAGAAAATTCAGGGTCGTTAGCGAATCAACAAAATTGAAAATGTGAGTGTGACAAAAAATTATACTATATCATAACTTGTATGTGTTTCTAAGACAAATATTTTATTTAAAAATTAAAAGTGATTTTGTCTTCTATTTAAAGGAGACTGATTCTAATTCAATCATTATAGTTTGTTATTCATACCTGGATCATACTTCTGAGCACGAGAAATTCTATTAATATCTTTATTTATTGCTATTATGCATAAGTTATTATATTGTATATTCTTAAAATCGTTATTTTATATTTAGCTTAAATTTTTTTTTCGTTTAGAGAAAGCTGATTCTATTATATCTTTGGATGCTAAAAATTTCATCTTAATTACTGCCATTCTTTTGTAAGTCATTAAATGTAATGCATCTTAAATAAATATTATATAATTTTGACTCTGCGAGTACTAGCATATGCTCTGTTAAACAATAGTACCAAGAACAGACATGGGCACTATATTTTAATAGAGCACTGCAGAGCTATAATTAAATTTGAAGATTTATTTTTAATTTTTTTTTTTTTTTGTAGAATAAGTCCAATTACATTAAATATATCACTAGGCAATTAGATTTATTTAGAAATTGTAATTATGTTTCCTGATGCTGCAGCTAGAAATAGTGACTATTCTGAGTTCCCTGTTAGTAGCACTTCAGTAAACACATGTGCAATGCTGAAAAAAATGACAAAGAATTAGCTAGCATTAATAGCACACCATTCATTAGAAATATATTAGGTTCTGAGATTGAGAACTATAATGGTAAATTACCTTTAATTACCTCTCCAATTGAAATTGAGGTGGGAACTCGATTTATTTCTATATTGATTGCAGTTCATTATATAGAACAATATATCTTTCAGAATTACTTTGCTGTTTATAAATACAAGTGTAAGATATTTTCTGATGGAACTTGTAGAAAGAGAGTTTTAAAATGTGATAGAGGTGGAAGATATAATGAACAGTTTTTGAGACCAACATTAGGAAAACAAAAAAACAAGGGGATTAAAAAACAAAGATGCACATGGCAAATTAATATGAACGATCTTATAATTCACTAATTGTTACAGTAATATTGCTTAATACTGAACACAATTATCAGATTGATATTGAAACTGCTTATAAAAGCTTTTTTCAAGAAATTATAAAACAAATCAAATATTATGTAATATATAGCCAGTGTGATGCAACAATAATTAGAAATCTTCTTTAACTCAAGTATCCAGATCGCATTTTTCTCACTCAAGACCTTGGAAATGCTATTCAAAAGATAAAAAGAGAACATGAAAAAAACTTAGGTAATGCAGCATTATTATTAACAAAATTGTTAGAGTTTCAAGCTAATAATTCACGGTGGTTTGTAAAACCATTAATTGATAATACAAGTAATCGGTTAATTGGTATATTTTAGATATCTTCCAAACAACATAAAAGATGGTTCAAGTTTTATGAAATAATTATTCATGATAATACTGCTCGAACAAATAAGTATAATTATTTGTTGAGTCTATTTATTTTGATTGATAATTACAATAAGAGTAGATTAGCAGCACAGGCACTTATACAGGATGAAAGGCAGGAATCATATAAGTAGTTACTTCAGTGTTGTTTAGAAGCCTGTAAAATTTTCCAATTACCTTTTGTTACAGATGCAGATCCTGCCATGGTTGCTGCTATTTCTGTTGTATTTTCTAAAACCTGTCATATGCAATGTTTATCTCATCTTTATCAAAATCTTTCTAAAAATCTTTGATCATATTTAGGTACACTTTATCAAGATTTTCTTAAAGATTTTAAAAACATTCAATATTTTTATAGTGAAGATGTATTTGAGAGGGGTATTGAAGAGTTGCTTGAAAAATATAAACCAGGAGAAAGCTATATTACAATATTATTAGATCAAAAATACACATGAGTAAAATGTTTTATATCTCGATATTTTACAGCAGGAACACAATCTACCCAATATTTAGAATCAAAAATGCATTAATTCAAAAGGTTATACAATCAAGTTATTCTCTCTTAGAAGTTTAGAAAGCTTTAAAAAATCAGCTTGAATTTGAATCAATTAATAATCGATACTCAATTTGGAAAAAATCAACAATGCTATATACGCAACCATTTATTATACAAATATTTTTTACTGATATTAATCATATTATTAAAAAATACCTAACTCAACCAATTTGTAATGCACATTACAAACAAATGTATCAATCTGTATATTATTGTGCACATCAAGTACCAATATCAGAAATTTTATTATCTAATAATGATTCATTTGAACTATTTGTTGAAGAAAAATAAACGAATAATGTCAAAAATTTTTTTGAAGTAGATGAGGATTGGGAACTTAACTTGCAATCTTTAATTTCAATGATTAGTCATGATGAAATTTTAGAAATTTGGAAAGTTTCTTGATATAATTACTCAAATTGCTATCAACATATAATTTTACTTAATAATGGAGAATATTTATGTATATGCTTTATGATTGTTACTCACAGGATTATATGTAAACATTTTTTTAAAATTTTTACATTATCATCCAAAGCACGTTTTCATTTAATGTTGATTCCTAAACGTTGGTACAAGGATGAATATCTTAATTCGGATAAAGACTATTCTCATGAAATGGTAATAAATAGTTTGAATCATAATGATACACAAATTATTCCAAAATTT